CAGTGCATAGATGATTACAATGCTTCATCAAATCGTTTATCATATCAATTCCATATTAAGAACAAAATTGTTCTAAATAAAGCAATAGTTGTTCCTAATTTAATTCGTCCAGATGTAAATAATCAAGTTAATATCACAGCTTATTTCAAGAATGTTGATGAAAAAAGAAATATCTTTTTGTGGACAAAATTTGGAGATAATGCTCCATCTCTATTAACATCAGTTTCAAAAGTTGGTGAAAATGAAATGATTTCATCTGTTACAAACGTTCCTGTTGATTCAGGACTTAATTATCCAGTTTCTGTTTGGCTTGCAGATGATTACGATCAATCCAGAGCTACAAGGAATGGAAAAACAACTGTAATTACCGTTGATATCAATATTACAAAAGCCCCATCTATGACATCCCCATGCATTCCTAGAATTGCTTACGGAAAAGATGATAGAATCAAGATTTCATTAGAAGTTATAGACGACACAAATGGTATGATTGAATTCAAGATTGATAACGAAGTTATCGATCAGCAATTATATTACAACACCACAAATGGAGTTGCTAAACTTTCAACAGAAATTGATATTCCAGCCAAGTATAAGGTATTTGGAAATCATTCAATTTCATACTATCCTGTTGATGAATTTGGCCTTAGACCAACAACAAACGATAGTATTACGACATGCTCATTCATCTATAAGAACAAGCCATTATTACATAAACTCAAATTGAGTAAGACTGTTGCAGATGATGACGATCCAATTAATGTATCTGGCAATCTTGTCGATTATGATTCAGGCAAAAAACTCTTCATATATCAAAAGCTTGGCTCACATGATCCAATTGTTCTTGGAGAGATTGTATCCCAAGGAGGATCTTCTCAAAATTTCACATATACAATCCAAAAATTGAAAGGAGTTCCATCAGGCCAGACATCAATTGAAATTTATGCATGTGATTCTAATGTAACAATTGATGCATCAAAACTTGACAGACAAGCAGTTTCTGATCCTTTCCCTCTTTCAATTTATATGGCAAATGATCCAGAATTAGTCGTACTTTTCCCTGAAGAAACAGTATATGGTTCATCAGATAAAATCGAAATCAAAGTTAATATCACGGCCGATATCCCGGGAACAGTTTATCTCTTTGATAGCACTTATTATGCAGAATCCGATGACACTTATAATGCTATCGATCATGTATCATATAATCATTCATGTATTGTCACATTAACTTTAGATACTAGCACTGAATACTTTGAAAATCAGAAACTGTATATTAAGGCAATTGGAAACAACGATACAAAATCCGATATCTATTATAAGAGTTTTACAATTAGAGATGCACCTCAATTAAATAAGATTCAACTTACAAAGGATGCATTTTCACCAGGAGATACCATTAGAGCTAAATATTATTATCAGAATAAACAAGGTGGTTATGTCTATCTATTTGCAAAGATTGGAAATAACATTCTAGTCAGTGATGCATCTGATTTATCGTCATATGATGTTTACGTATCAGACTCTTTTGATATTAAACTAAACCTCTCTCAGAAAACCGGGCCTACAACCCTTACTTTTTGGGTTCAAAATACACCAAATGTTGTCTATCCACCTGAGAAAAATTCTAAGTCAGCAACAATTACAAAGAATATCATTATCACAAAGGTTCCTAATGTCGATTTCAACTATCCTCAAGAGAAATATTACGGATACGATGATACATTCCAATGCAACGTAGTGATTAAAGATGATACAAGAGGATACATTTTACTTAAAGTCGATGATATTGTCATTAAGAATGAAACATATACAAGCAATGAGCTGCTAAAGACAAAATCTTTCACTTTCCCTATTCCTAAAACACTGAAATACAGAAATAAGCGAACTCATGTCCAGCCTTATGGTTACAAATACTCAAATGAATTCACTGTTACAATGTCGGTCGTTGATGAATATGGAATGACTAATCAAAAATCACAAACATTCAAGTTTGTCAACAAGCCAAAGGTCACTGCAATTTCTGTAACTAAGGACCTAATATTACAAGATAAATCTTCCATTTCTGTTAGAATCAATTACACAGATGTCGACAATGGAAAATATTTATATTTCTGGTTATACTTTGATGATGTTAAATACTCAACATCTGGCTCTGTCACCAGCTCTGGAAAATCCGCTTCCGATGAATTCACATTTGATATTCCAAGTAACAAGAAAGTTGGACTTCACACAATTAGTGTTAAAGCTGCTGATATAAGTAGTACGTACTTTACATCGAATAGGAATTCATTTTCAAATATTGAAAGTATCCCAATTCGTGTTACTTTCAGACCATCAATCACATTAGATCGAATATCTAACAATTTCATATCTAAAGGTCAGAATCTTAGACTTACAGGTTCTCTTAGTTTTGATACATTTACATACTGCAATATTGTCGTTTCATTCGGATCAGTCCAAGCTCAGTCAACAATGCTCGATAAGTCGTCTCTCATTAATGGCAAATATGACATCACAGTTACAGTTCCAGATGGTTTGAAATACGGAATAACCACAATGACAGTCAGTGCTATTGACGGAAACTCAATTCAATCTTTGAATTCTGGTTCTAAGTCATTTACATACAAGAACAAGCCAAAGATCCATGACTTCTCCATGTCAGCAGATTATTTCACAACAGAGGAACCTGCTTATTTCAAACTCTTGCTTGATGACAGCGATAAAGGAAAGGAAATCTTTGTTTGGATGCAAATTGGGGATGAAGATCCATTGAATAATGATTATTGGGCTTGGTCTAATGGTAAAGATAATCAATTACTTGAGATCTCTCAAATGATTCATACAAAAAAGTCCGGCCCCACTAATGTTAAATTTTATGTTACAGATACATATAATGAACATGCCGATGGATTAAGTATTTCCAATGTACTTTCTCAGAAGATCGTATTCTCATATTTTCCATTCTTCCAAGTTACATATCCATCTGATTTCTATTACCATACAAATGAACTTATCCCAATTTCTTATACATGCGAAGATGACGGAGATGTCACAATTTACGTTACCATCAACGGTGTTTCTATCGACTCAATGAAAGAAACAATCTCTCCAAACAATAAAAAGATATCTGGAACAAAGAACATCAATTTGACAGCTGATATCTTCAAATACGGATACAATGAATTCAATATGTATATCGTTAATAAGTATGGATTCAAATCTGATGATCAATTAATCTATATCAGAATAATCAACCCCCCAATTTTAAATTCTATTAACATTTCAAAGAATTACGCATTACAAGGTGATATCATCGAATTTGATGGTACATTCACAGATCTTGATCAGACAAAAGACCTTTACTTCTACGTACAACTTGGAGAAAAGGCTGTAGAACAAAGTTCATTGAATGTTAAATCAACAGGTGAAAAGGGCCAAAAATTCAGTTTTGGTCTCAAGATTAATAAAACAGAACCACCTGGCAAGAAGAAGATCAAAGTTTGGATCAGTTCCAACAAAGATCCAAAAATTGTTTCCAATGCAGTTCATGCAAACTCTAAGGTATTCGAGTTCGATTTCGAGGTTACATATAAACCATCCATTTCACTCCAACCATTAGTTAAGTCAGCCTACAATGATGGAGAAAATATCTCAATAAGAGGTTCTGTAACAGCTAACTCCAACATTCTCATGAAATTCAAGATAGATAATATCGAACTTAACGTTACAAAAGAGATCCAAGTTACTGAAAATCCACAAGAATTCGAAGTCAAGTTACAGATCCCAGAGAATTTCAGGTATGGAAAGCATAATCTCAACGCTTACGCTGTTGATGCAAACGGATTATCAACTGATATGACACACATCGAGTTCAACATCCAGAATCCACCAAGAATCCTCAGTATCTCTCTTGAGAGCGACTCCGTAACAGCAGGCGGAAAAGCCAAAGTTGTTGGAACTATCAGAGATCCAGATGCCCGAAACATGATCACATTCTTAGCAGGCATCGATCTTGAAACAAAGTCTAAAGTTTATGAAATGGTTTCAGATTCTTCTGTCCAAGCATTTGCATTCGAGATTAATATCTCATCAAATATTGTACTTGGCGATCATGATCTCGAGATCATCGCAAGAGATCCAGACAACCTCGAATCAACTCCAGCACAATTAACATTCACTGTTGTTAAAGGAAATAGTGGCATTGGTGGCGATGACGATTCAAGCAATGCCAATTCTAAAAGCGCAAATAAAAAGAAGAAAGCTACAAATGCAGGCTTAATCGCAGGCATTGTTATTGTTGGCCTTGTATTGGTTGTTCTCTTCGTTCTTCTTGTTGTTCTTTTAATCAAGAAGAGTGGCGGCAACAATGCTCATGATTCAGATTCAGAAACAGAAAATGAGGATCTTCCAGAAAGCGAGACTCAAATTGCAACCTCAATTCCAATGGAAGAGGCAACACGCGACAACCCATTATTCTCTGCCTCTGAAGTAGCTAATGATAATGACCCATTCTCAGATGAGTTTGAGGAACAAAATCATGTTGTTTAAGATGCAAAATTTTTATCAATAAATTTCGGTATTTAAATAAAATATTTCTTTTTATATAAAACATTTTTATGTCCATAAAAGATATAGTAATTCATAAATATTCAACCTTTAAACCTTGATATTTGTGAAATTTTATTTTTAAATTCTAGAAATTTTTAATGATTGTTATAATTATTATAATAAATTGATGAACAGCAGTTCAATTTCCTTCTTAATTTCCAGAAACAGAATTAGAGGTTCCCCATTATCATAAAACGGTTATATCGATCATAGCTTTGAATTTTTGAATAGTTTACATCAAATCATTTGAGGCATGTTACTTCTTCAACCATTCTACATAATTATAAAAATTTTGCTATTTCCACTGATTTCAATACTCTTATAAAAAACGATCATTTTTTAGAAAATTGAAAGGAGAAATTTTTATGCCAAAATTTTTATTTTTATAAATGAAATTTGGAAAGCAAATACGCTTTGTTGCCGTTAAATCTTGGTATGATAAGTATGTAGAATATAAGAAGTTTAAAGTTGCCGTAACAAATGGTAGAGAAAGAATGCTAGAAGCCCATGAAAATGGCGCATTAGACTCAGAACTCGATACCATGAAAGAAGAATTTCTTGAGAACATCTTTAAACTCATCTATAAGAGTCTTAATTCAGTAACCAGTTTTTACACAGCCGAATATGTAAAATTTCAAGAATTAATTAACGAAATCGAAGACGACATTGATGTACACCTCCAATTCTCGCAAAGAGATGAAGAATCAAAGAAATCTTTCATTAAAAGGGTTTTCGGTATTACAATTGAAGCTTATGAGCTCAGAACATTTCTCGAGATCAACAGAACAGCAGGACAGAAGATTGTTAAGAAAATCAACAAGAATTTCGGAACCTCACACTTATCTCAAGAATTCATTATCGATGAAGCAGATATTTTCGTAAATTTACCTGATATGCAAAACATCGTCGAACAACTCGAAAATTTATACTCAAAGATCTTGAGGGAGATCTCTGTTAATGGAGATGAACGTCCAAGATCCGAAATTGTCATTGAATTGCATAACAAAGTTGATTCTACAATTGCATGGAAACAATCAACAGTTTTATCTGATTTCAATGCGATTGATTTCAGGAAATCACAATTATCTCATATTACACAACCAGTCAAGTTCCCTCCATTGATTATAGCTCTTATCTTCTTAATTGTTTTCTCTGTCAAACAGTTTACAAAAGGATTAGAATTTGCAGCACAAAAGACAATCGGGATCATTGGTTTCTGTGCAATATTATGGGCAACAGGAGCTATTCCTTTATGGGTTACATCCATTTCTATTCCATTTATTTCTTGTGTTCTTAAAGTTGTTACCAAATATTCTGCAACAGACATCGGAAAGTTCCTTGAACAATCAACAATGGGTCCAATTGTTTTCTTGATTATTGGTGGATTTACAATCGCTACAGCATTGCAAGCAACAGAAATGGATAAAAGAATTGCATCTATTATCCTTAAAAAAGCTTCTATAAATGCAAGGATATTCTTGTTAGTTACATCATTGTTGAATGTCTTCATTGCAATGTGGATTGGAAATATCACTTCAACAATGATTGTTATAACATTAATTACTCCGACATTAAGACAAATTCCAAGAAATTCAAACTTCGCTAAGGCAGTTATTTTATCAATTGCTGTTGGAGGAAATCTTGGTGGCATGACAACACCTTTAGCTTCATTGCAAAATGCTGTTACAATCGAATCTGTTGCTGAAGCTGCTGCAAAATATGGAATGCACGATAAAGTTTCTTTCACAACTTTCTTCGCTACTGCTTTGCCTTTTGCTATAATTTGTGCAATTATTGCTTGGGCTATTATTATGTTGAAATTCCCAATTGATGTTTCAAGTGTTCCTGCAATTCCAGAAACACAATCTGATTTTGGTTGGAGACAGATATTTGTTTGTGTGGTTTCTTTTGCAACTATTGTCGTATGGATTGTTCTTCCTTTCGGAGCAGATAGAGTGTTTTCTGATTATGGCATTGTTGGATTCGTTCCTCTTCTAATTTTCTATGGAAGTGGAATCCTTCCGTCAAGAAAAATTGCTGACTTACCGTGGAACGTAATTTTCACTTTATTTGGTGGAAGTGTTTTATCTAAAATCGTTCAAATGAGTGGATTAATGGATGCCATTTCAAACACAATGGCAAAGGTATTAGGAAAGCAAACTTTGTGGGTAACTATTCTTATTGTTAATATTTGCGTAATAGTCATTGATTTCTTTATTACTCATAGCGTTTCTTGCCAAATTACAATGCCTTTGGTTGCAAATTTTGCTGCAAAAAGAGGTGGCCATATTGCATTGTTCTGTATGTGCGGATGTATGGCAACAACAGCAAGCCAAATCATGCCAGTATCTTCATTTCCAAATATGTGCTCGTTTTCCATAACTGATGATACGAAAAAAGAATATTTCAAATCCCAAGAATTCATAAAATGGGGAATTACCATCACTGGCGTTTTAATTGCTTGTGTAATGACAATTTTCTATTTTATTGGTTATGAATTTGGATTATAATTTTTTTTTTTGAATAAAAAATTATTGAATAATATATATGTTTCAATGATTTTTTACCTTTGCGATCAAATGGTAGTATAATTTGAACTCGATTTATTAAATTAATAAAAGAAAATCCGATTTTTTTTTGAAAATACCATAGATGTAACATTCTAAACGTACATATGTTGTGAACAATCGGTGATGTTGATATTTTGCATGTTGATGGAAAAGAGAAAGGTACAATATCCTAGATTTCTTTTCATTTTTTGACAAATGTATTGAAATTCAAAATTATGATAAATCAAACCAATACAAATAAACACTTATATTATTTAAGGCAGTTTGGCTTGAGGTTCTTTCAAAGTGATGATAATACAACGGCGCTTTACAATTATCGTCGACCAATATCCTCTTTTAAGACGTTGCACAACACTGCAACGTCGGAGTGATGTTAATAATGAGAGGCCATTTGCTTTATATAATTCATCTTTGTTCATGATATATCATTTCTTTTCGATTTTTATTTAATGAAATAAACGATCATGATAAATAAATATAACTTTCCACAATAAGTGCTATATACTAATTTTTAAAATAGCTTAAGATGTAAGAAAATCGAAAAAAAATATATTGAATTTGAATTTTTATTACAAAATAATTCAACGATATAAACAAAATAGATACAATATACTCTAACACATTATGATGCGCATAATATCATGTCCGATAAGATGTGGATCGTTATTAAATTAATTGATTAATTTCTGTAGTGAAATTGTCCACGAATTCATTTGTAAATTGTAACTGGTCATCAATTGGTAATTCAAGACATGCAAATTCAGATAAATCATTTCCAGGTAGAATTATGGAATCATCAGTGGACGAAGATGACTTTCCACGCCGATTTCGATCAATTGGATTTATATGAACATTATATCTATTTTTAAGCGAATTTGCTGTACGTCCAGGAAAATATTTGGTAAGTGCAGACCATTTCGGCCCATGTTGACTGATATAGTAAATTAGTTTATCATCATCTTCTTTAGTCCATTCTTCACGATTAATTCCAGGAGCCAAATAAATTTTATATCTTTCTCTGCATTGTCTGTTCGTTTTTCCAGGTATAAATGAAGCGATTTCATTCCAACGTTTATCTCCAAATATGTTTACGAGAATTTTTAATAATTGATCTTCCGTAGAAGTGAATAACCTTTTCTTTCCTTGTTTCAGATTTTTCTCCCTTTTTGTTTCTTCTTCTTTTAACTTCTTCTGCAACAAAACTATGTAGCTCATCACAGATAAGGGACGGGTAGAACTCATGAAAACTAGTGAAAGATATTTGAGAGAGTTTTTAAATGTGTCAGTTTTGTAAAAATAATTATATGCATTTAGAGAGTATATTTTAAACGTTAAATGTTGACCATAGATAACTCAAATATCTCAAAAATTGAAAAGTGTTTTTATACAAATTAAATAATATTCAGACATATAAGTGGAAAGCAAATATCAACAAAATCCGATAATTTGCAACGTCTCAATTCATTGTCAAAAATTGAATGATTGTGAAAGGAGAGTTTATAGCGAAGCACAAAATTACATCCGAATCATTATGGATAAAATAAATCCTGCAAGGTTTTTCGGATCTCCGAAAAATATTTTAATTCTATGATATTAGTAAACAATATCAAGAAATAGCATTTGATTGAAATATATTTCTGAGAAAAGTGACATATTTTGAATTATGTTCAAATTTACATTCTTCAGTTTTATTTTTGATTTTTAACTCCAACATCTACTAGTCAACAAACCATATTTTATTCCTTTCAAAGGATAATTGTGTCAAAATTTCATTGTCAAATATTTTTATTGAATATTTCATATCAATAATTGCTTTTCAAATTTCTTTTTTCTAATTCTTATCAAACAACCAAACACACTATTTACCGTTGCATGTCTAAACAATCGTAACGATTATTTCTGATTCAAAAAGTTGGCTGCTTGGACGATGAATAATTTATTTTCCTACGGTGATATATTATTTTTATTATCTATTATTTTATATCTTTAACTACTGTTATAATATTTTAATAAATGAAACTGTAATTGCGTAGTTGAGCAAATAATTATTATTTTATATGATAATTCATGGCTATAAATTTAATATAAAAAACATATATTAAATACGCAAAATAGACATTTGAATATCAAATTAATAAAAAAAAATTTCATATTTTTTCATAACAAAAAAAATTAATGTTTGAATATTAAATAAATGATACATATTAAACTATAATAAATTAACAATTTTTATTATTTCGGAGGAACAAATTTATCCAAGATTGATTTTCTCAAATCATCTAATTTTGGAACATCTTGCATCAACGAATAAAATTTTTGTTGCATTTCGGAGAGCATTTTATTCTCATCCAAGTACTGCATGATATAGTAAGCATCAACATTGGCTCCCATGCAAATCATCGTAAATAAACATGGATGAAATTCACCGCTCGAAGCGAAACACAACGTTGCAGATTCCAATTCACCGGCGACGTAATAAGATACGCCGAGTTTAAATATCGCCTCGGACTTTTCAACACCGCTGAGCATTGATCTGCAGAACTTCTTTGCAAGTTCGATCTGGCGACTCTCTAAAAGCAAATTGAAAGCAAGTTCGTCAAAACCGCCCGCTCTCAATAAAACGGCCGCTTCAATGAATCTTTGGGAGTCCAACATCGAAGTTGCACACGCCTTGATTCTGGCAGCTGATTTGTCGCTGAGCTTCACGTCGCCGAAGAGTGTTAAGACAGCCGCGGCTAACGAAGCAATCAGGAAGTTCTTGCTGGTGTTAGTTTTAAGGATATAATCGGCCGCTTCATCGTATTCGCCGACAAAAAGATAAGAAGCGAGTTTTTGCATGCCAAACTCAGGAAGATCGCATTCTAATGAGGCAAGAATCTTGTGGCAGATTAATTCGATCCTGCAATTGCCAAAACAACATAAACTTTGCAAGCGAAGGATGTCACTTTTTGCCAAAATGTTCCAAACATCTCTTCCGACGCAAGTTAATGCTCTTTTGTTTTCTGGAGATGGTTTGCCGGGGAATGATGTGAATCTTTCAATAATATCCGGTTCAGATGGCATTTTAAGCATTTTTGTAACAGATGAAAGCGGTGCTAAATCTAATGAGCGATAGAACCTTACTACGCCATCGGGACACTTAGCAAGTATAAGCTTACCATTCACAAACTTGTAATCAAGCACTCTAATGGCAAAAGTAACTACTTTTTCGTTACGTAATTCGAAAAATGTCGAATTGTCGCCAATTCCGAATAGACTTTCGCCAACAAACATCAGATTCCTGATGGAAACAAAGTTTGTCTGTATGTTTGTGCATGTTTTCGCTTCTTTTCTGAAGAAAAGTAATGTTCCATTATCAAATGCAGTTACGTAGCCAATATCTGAGACTGCAAATGCAGTAGGTATTGAGTTGACACCATGAGGTCTTAATCCGCTTGTACGTTCGACGCCTTTCGTTGGAGAATATTCATGGAAATATATTTCTCCAGTTTTTAGTAAAGTTACGAAGGTTCCCGATGTCCCATCTGATGATTCGTTATCAACGATTACGTCGCAAATGTCTGTTTTGAATAAAACCGTTGATTCTTTGCCATTTATGAAAACTCCAATGGAACTTGGTCCTCTCTGGACGACAAAAGCACCATTGTGGTTACTGATGCATCTTGTCGGAAGGAATCCGCGAGAAGGAAGTGGTAAAACTTGATGTCTCGCGATATCTATGATTCCAATGGATTCTTCTGAGTGATAGTATATGCGAGACTTCGTAATGTCCAATGCTACGAAGTTTATTTTGTTCTGTGATACTTTGTAGCGTTTGAAATCGTTACTTTCTCTGATACTTCCGAAAATAATGAATCCGGCTGAAGTTCCTAGCGCGTACATCTCTCCATCGCTATCAAATGTCGTAATGTCGCTTGGATATATCGGAAAAACAACTGTTGTTCTGAATTTGTCTGCATCAAAAATTTCAAGGCCAACATCTTGAACGTAAAGCACAATAAGACTTCCATTCAACGGAGAAGACAACGCGGAAACAATAGAATTCTTTCCTTCTCGTGATTGTCGCTCATGAGATACGTAATAATCGTAATCATTGTCAGAATGGAGAATATCGATGCTGCCACTTTTGTGGAATGCGATAAGTACTCTCGAGTTATCGTTTAGCTGGCAAATATATGAATAAGGTGAAGTTACGTGGCGATGAGAGGCAATTGGAACGACTGACTGGCTTTCGAGATGGAACATGTAAATCTGAGTGTTAGTTACGACGAATGCAATGCCATTGATGTGGAGTGACCACTCAACAAAATTAATAATTTCGTCATTTGCGTCATTTATTGATACAGTGTCGTAAAACGATGTAGGCTTAATGTTAGGCTTATCTATTTTGTAAATCGAGAACACATTCGTGTTGCCTCCAAAGATAATGTACTTTTTCGTTTGTTGATCAATTGAAAATCTCTGATACTCGCGCGGAAGTACTAACTCCCACTCAATGTTAGTTGTTTTCTGTTCCACATTGTTATCTTTTGTTATAAAAGAAAGGCAAAATAAACGCCGATTTTTGTCTAAAGCTAATAAATATTCGTCATGACATTGAATGTATTGACAAAAGGCAGCTATGCGCGGACTCTTGAATGTTGCTGTGATTTTTCGAGTTGCATAGTCGAAAATGAAAATTTTCTGGTTTAAATCAGCAATTGCGACTTCTGTACAGTTAGGACGCATTGATATTGCTGTTACTGGACTTTCACTCATCTCAGCGGAGCAAATTCTATCGAATTTTACACCGTCAAAATAAGCAAAATGAACAGAACAGCCAGAAGCAAAAGCTATTACATTATTTGTACCCCAATCGAGTGCATCTTTATTTTCTTTGACGTATTGAGGTGCAAAGCTTGGTAAAATCTGATAAATATCCATTTCTTTTCGATTTGATTTATTTTTTTTTATCGTCTTTCTGTAGAGATTTCTATGTTTGACGCAAACTTACTTTGGTACCGTAAGCTCATTGCTGTATCATACTAAAACCATTACTTTTCGGCCAAAATATAAGTTTTTGATATCTTTTATAACAATTTCAATAAGATAGAGGTATATTCCATAAAAATAATAGAAATACACTTTTTGTCTTAGTGATTTCATTATGCAAAACAGAATTTATGTTAAATATCAAAATTTCAATACAAATTCTAAATAATTATTGATTTTCAATAGTCAAATTTATTATTTCTCCTCTATAACATAATCAACTTACAATTGTTTTTGTTTCAATGTCGAAATTTTGTTCACGAATGATGCAATGATGAGTAAAAACAATCGATACCATATGTATTGCCTTGGTGTATTTCAATTTGCAGTTTTGTCAGCTCTTCAGTATAAAATAAGTCGGTTCAGAAATATGGACAATGAAACTGCCCGACCACATCGAAAATTTCAAAAATTAAAAATACAAGTCTATACATGAATTGCTTTATTTTTTATAAAACTTCACCGGGCTTAACATGACATTTTATATCTAAATCCACCTTCGATGATTAAGGCGCAGCAGCCAAAATCTTAAGCTACTTTCTAAGTAATTACATCGAAGGATTAAACTCATCTCAACTGGAGATGAGTTTATGGAATGGCACTGCAAAATTAGAAGATATTTCAATTAAATCTGACGCCCTGACATCACAACATATTCCAATGACTGTTAAGCGCGGAAAAATGAGTTTAATATTTCTCGAATTACCATGGGGAAGGTTAGATTCACAAAGTTGCCAAATTAAACTTGAAAATATTTACGCCGTTACAGATGTTACAGGAAATGCATTAGTATCAAAAGATTTAGAAGTCACAAATACCAAAGTCGAGACCAATAAAGAAGCAGAACAAGGACAAGGCTCAATGTTTACAGGATTAATCACAAAGATCGTTGATAACTTAAAAGTTTCAATCAAAAACATACATATTCGCATGGAACTAAACAATAAAGGCACTCTTACAGCAATTGGCCTCGTAATTAAATCAATTGATCTTTACTCAGTGGATGAGAAAGGAGAACCAAAAATATATCCAGCGCAATCCAAGATTATACGCAAGAAACTCGTTATCAACGGTCTTGGCCTCTATGTTGATCCAAATGCGAACTACATTGATACAAACGACATTTACGAGAGCATGGCCAGCATGTACCATCAATTCATCATCGATCCATTCTCTACTGAAACAACAGTTGTCTTAAACAAAGGCGCAAACCCCGATCAAAGGATTTCTGTTTATCTTTATTCTCCAACAATCAAAATTGTTATGAACAAACTCCAGTATTTATTTAGGTATCAGTGCTTTAGTTCGACAGTTCAATTATTTCGTAATCAGAAGATCATTCTCACATTGCGGAAGACCAGATATAGCAATAGAAGATGAAATTTCATCAAGATTATGGTGGAATTATGCAACAAAATCTGCTTCTTATATGAAAGAACCTTCTATTTTCTATCCACAAAACGCATTAAAAGTTTTAAGGAATAGAAAGAAATATGTTGAACTTGTTCAATCAAAAGATCCTAAATTGGAAGATTTGGAAGATAAATTAGGACCTTCTTCTGTTGTTTTGTTGAGAAGTTACGCTGATTACGTAATTAAACAAAATTTGGAGCCTGTTTTAACAAAACAAGAGGCTCAAGAGATGCAAACAGAGTTATCTCAGTCATCAGGACCTATCTACATTAAAGCAAAGTTTGATGATATCGATTTGAATTTAATTGATGAAAAGAATTTACATTTGAATTTAAATATTCAATCAACAACTTTAGGAGTTGTGAAGAATTCAACATATAATGAAATAAGTGTTGTTATGCAGCGTTGTCAGATAGAAAATGTTTATAGATCAATTACTAATTTCAAATGGTCTGAACCTCTTAAATTCACTCTTGAAACAAAACTTACTGAGAAATCTTATAAGATAAATATTCCAAAAATTACTACTTATTTGGATTACAAGAGTTTGGATGAGATTTATCAGTTTTTGGATGCACCAAAATACAATGAAAACAAACTAATGGCTAAAAAGAATAGATCTGAAGCTGTTCATGCTGTAAAACTTCCAAAAAAGATTGATGTAATTGGCGATAAATTTGATTGTACTTTGAATTTATTATCAAGTCCATTAATGTTTACTATTGAAAGTTATAAATTCATTGATTACAGTTTGCAAGCGGAAAACATTGTTTTGAAATCTGATGACGAACAATTACTTTCTTTACCTGAATTCACACTTGATATTGATAACGTGAAATACAGTTTCAAGTTAAATGTTCCATCAGCAAACATTGTTTTATCTTCTAATTTGATTTCTCAAATAATTGATTTCATTGTTAAGAGAGATTATTTGATTGACATTGTTAACAGTAATCCTGAACAAACAAGGAATGTTATCTACGCGGATGTTGACATTAAAACACTCCAAATCGATCTGAAAACATCCAAAGTTATTTCAACAATTATATTAAGAGAAACAATGATAAATGCTGCAGAAGGAATAAAATTCAACTGCCAAAATTTCACAATTCTCGATGAAATTTCCAACCAAATTTTATTCACGAAATTTGATTTTGACATGTTACAAAATCATGGAAAATTAATTATTCCTACTTTGTCAATTGCAATCAACCAAGAATTTATTAATAATGTAGTTGATTTTGCAAACAAAACAACATTGTTGAAATTAGAATTGCCGCAAAAAGATAAGAAAACTGAAGAATATAACAAACCAAGCATGGAATTATCATTAGAAAATGCAAAAGCGACACTCCAAATCAACAATAACTCAGCAGTCACTGTTGATTTCGCTTTGATTTTCGAGGATTCCAAAGAAAAAACATTAGTTCTCCTCAAAAACGTTGATTTGTTCATAACAGATAATAATTTTGTTTTCTCACCAATATTAACTGCTGATTTGATCAAATACAATGAAACAGAGAATCTCAGAGAAATTAACATTGGATCATTCGATGTAAACATTACTAGAAGAGAGATTGATGTATTAGGAATGATCAAAGATTTAAAGATTTACCCATTGCAAACAAAATCAGCTCCTCCGAAAGAATTTACAGGGTTATCTAAGAATATTATTTTATCTCATGGACAAATCAAACTCAGTTTCTGTTTCTCTGGTGTTGAAATCAAACCTCCAATTGCAACACTCATTTTCTCTAACTCTGGAACAGAAAATGAAGAACTTTCCGCAACAATTTTGGAAACAATAACAATTTTGACTCCAGGATTAACGAAACAGACAACACCATTGTTAGAACAAACAGAATTATCTGTTTATCTCGATTTCAAGAACCAAAACTACAAAGTTATTGTTCATGATTTGAATGTTTTCATTTCTTACAATTTCTTACTTGGATTGAGAGAAATCATTTTCTCAAAGGACTATTACTGCCAGAAACCGATGCTTTCTATAACAAATTCCATAGGAGTTCCAATACAATACACAGTTAGAGACAAAACATATGAATTAGACGTCGGAGAATCATCAAAACTCGATGCAGATCTCATGGAAAAGATAAATTTGAGAATTGGAAATGAAAATTCCGTAATTATTCCTGCAACATTAAGTTTCCCTTATTTGTTGAGTACAAGGACTGCTGCATCATTAACATCATTCAATGGAAGGAAATCTATTAATATAATAAGTCCTTTCTTGTTCAGAAATGAGTCATCTGTAGAATTATCTTTGATGATGCTCTCAGGAACACAATATTCGGAAGTTGCCAGAATTAAACCATTTGGAGAAACATATTTGCCATTTACTACTTCAAGGAATGATTTGTTTTCTTTGGTGACAACAGATTATTACGCAATAAAACCACCATCATTTTCATTAATGAAATGGAACACATGCACAGAATACTACGTAATGACGAAAACATCAAAAATGAAGTGCATTTTATTCTTTGATTTTGATAAAGGACTAGGATTAATCAGAATTGTTCCTAATTTCACTTTCATCAATGAATTGCCAATTCCTATATCAATAACAATCCAAAAGCCAAGGTATATCATGAATATTCCTCCAGGAAGCAAAGTTTCTTTGGCAAATGATACAGATTTGATTGTTTCGTACGTAATTTCAGCAAAAGGATTCAAAGACTCCGAAGAAGGAACAATACAAACAATCATTGACACACACACGAAATCTATTTTGAGAATGGTTTCGGCTGACGGTTTGAGAAGAATCCATTTGACTGTAAACCCTCATGCTCATGAACAAGGTGTCCTAAGAATGTCAGTTTACGCATCATGTATCTTCGTTTCAGCAATTAATGAACAATTAATGGCTTCAAACACAAAAGGTGGAGAGTTCTCAATTTTCACTGACATGGACGGTTTTAACGGTTTTCTGTTTGGAGGCGGTGATGGTATCATGAACAATTGTTACATTAAAGTCAAGGATTATACAATAGAAAGTCGTCCAATTTCAGTTTTGAACATTGGAGACAGGAAAACAATATTTTTGCCGAGAAGTGATTCGAATTTGTTTTTCCCATTGAGTTATTTAGTTGATGATGCTCCTCCACAATTCAAGCATGCGAATATCTTCATTATTTCTTATGCTTTGTCTATATACAACAAATCAAAGGATGATTTCGTTTTCCAAGTCGAAAATTCCGAAAAAACTTATGAAATTAAATCAGGAAAAACTGTAGAAATCACTTCAACTAATGAGAAATTGTCATTTATTGTTGATTGCAGCAGATTTGTATTAGATAGAGTTGGTAGATATCCTATCATTTATCATGGAAAACTTTATGAATTGACTATTGTTGAAAAACATTATGGATTGCAAGCAATTTTATCAGAATTAAGTCATAATCCTCCTTTAAAGATAAAGAACGCATCAAACAGATTGGTAAGAGTGAGACAGAAAGGCATTGATGAATTTGTTAATATCTTTTCTAAGGAATCGAAGCCATTTGGACTCAAAAATCCTTTCGACGAATCCTTGGTTTTGGAAATTCAAATGGATGAAAAAATCGCTGAATTAGATTTAGATACTTTCGAAAATTACATGTTTTTCGATGATTTGTTCTGCCAAGTAATGAGAGTTAATAACTCTACTGTTGTTACATTTTCTGATACTATTATTTCAGAAAAAACTATTTCTTGTTCTCTTAATATTTCAGGTGTTAATGTTTCATTCATTTCTCCAAGAAATACTGAATTAATGACTGTTAATGTACAAGGAATCTCTATTTTAATGAAAGGAGATAACCCTGCAACATTAAATTTCAATGTTGAATCATTGAAAGTTTGTGATATGTATCCGAAAGCTGTTTCCCATGTAATTGCTGCAAGTGTTACGAATTTCATTCATTTCGAAGCAAAACTACATCTTTGGTCTCCTAAGAACATTATATCTTCTTTTCTTTCTATTGGATGTGTCAATATTTTCATTGATTTGTCATTTGTTGAAGAGTTTTATGATTATTTGTCACCAGTTATTCATCATCCAAGAAAGTTCCCACCAAAGCTTCCTGGTGGCTCCATTGATGCAACATTGAAACATCTGAAAATAGACAAAACGAATTTGATTTTTACTTTGAGAAGTAAAACAAAAAGACCTAAAATGGCTCATCAATTCCCCGAAGAATTGTCGTTAATTCCTGATGTAACAACTTCACCATTATCCATTCCTGAATTCCAATTAAAGAATTTAAGTGGCCGTCCAACATCAATTGCACTTTATATTCTTGATCAGATCAAGAGCGATGTTTATAACTTATTACCAAGTATCATAGCAAGAGCTGATATTTTGTTTAATGCCGTCGGAATTTCCGATGATCCTTCCGTTGCTTCTGTTTTGAGATCTGGAGAAGGATTCGTGAAATCCGTTTCTTCTTATGTAGGAATGATTGGTGGAGATACAAGGAAGAGCGAAGGAATAGCAATGACACCTGAAGAAGCTGTTATTGGTGGCTTGAAATCATTGGCACATGGTTTTAAACATGGAATTAAAGGAATTGTCGAAAAACCGTTGGAAGGTGCAAAAAGAGGAGGTTTTCTCGGCGGATTGAAAGGATTGGCAAATGGTTTAGCAGGTGCTGTTGCCAAACCAGTCAGTGGTGTTTTGGATGCAGGAGCAGGATTGATAGGAAGTGCCGCAAGAGCTTTGGATGATTCTATGATTTACAAGGTAGATATTAATAAAATCAAACTTCCCAAAGTTTTCTTGAGAACAGGTGATGAAATCATTATCAGCAAGATCTATAAGCAACTTTGCATTGATGGAAGAGCAGACACGATAATTGCTGTGTCTCCTTTCAATCAAATCGGCAACGTAAGGATATTAGTCGTTCCAAGAAGAATTGTTTTGTTTACTGTCAGATATGAACAGTTTTATATTGTACAATGTGTGAAAGGAAGAAAAATTGCATTCGTCAGAAACGAAGGAGCAAAAGTTATTGTTAAATACGAAGGTACTGATCCAACAATTGTTAACTTCGAGAATTCCGATGAAGCGGAAGTTTTTGCTTCTTTAATCATGTCTATACAAAGAATGGATGTTTTGTTTAATAATTAATCTTTTTTTTATGTTTGCTTCATAAATATGTGTTTCATTTATTATATTTTCCCTCTTTATTTCTTTACAATATAGTAAATTGTAAAATCTAAAATAATTTTCAAAATCATTAAGGATATTCTTAAGCCCATCTGACATTAATTCAAATTTTTGACAACGGTCGTGAAAATTAATCTTAAACACATATTTGAAGACTTTGCTATTGAAGCGTAAGTAAACTCTTAAGGTTGAACTCTTCACTTTATGACGCCTTCTAAAAAAGAGAAATAAAAAACTAAATAGACTATACCTTCAAAAAAGATATTTAAAGTTTACTTCGTAAGATTCTTCATCAACCTTAATTTTTCTTGTATGCTGAAGTTATTTTGGAACCCATGATCCATCCGGTTGCAAAATAAGTTTGTCGCCACCTTTATAATCTGTCCAGAATTTCATGGGACCAGAAATAGGAAGATATATGGCATTCTTTGAATGAGCCATTCTTTGGCGTCTTACTGCTTCCATTTGAGCAAGATAGTTTTCTCCACCACCAAAGACCAAAGGGCGTTTAGTTGGGCGAAGGAAAGGCTTGAGGTTTAGGCCATTCTTTGATGCTGCCTTTTTTTGACGTTCAATTTCTTCCATGCGTTGTCTTAAAATTTCTCTTTGGCGTTTCCAGTATTCACCGCCTCCAATTGGTCTGAAATCTGTAATGCGTGGGAAAATGGGGAAGAGATTATTCTCTTCTTCGTCAGCGTTGTGATAGTGGATATGGAAATGTCCAAATCTGCCATCATAGTCGAAATCAATACCCCAGTTGTCATCATCATAAGCTTCTTCTTCGTCAGCGTTGTGATAGTGGATATGGAAATGTCCAAATCTGCCATCATAGTCGAAATCAATACCCCAGTTGTCATCATCATAAGCTTCTTCTTCGTCAGCGTTGTGATAGTGGATATGGAAATGTCCAAATCTGCCATCATAGTCGAAATCAATACCCCAGTTGTCATCATCATAAGCTTCTTCTTCGTTGCTGCGATATCCAAAGCGGAACTTACCCCATGGTGAGTCGTATGTGATTCCAAAGCCCCAGTTATCATCATCGTAAGATTCTTCGTCAGCGTTGTGATAGTGGATGTGGATCTTGAATGGTCCTTCGTAATCGAAATCGATACTCCAGTTGTCGTCATCATATGATTCTTCAACTGAGTTTAAACCTCTGTATTGTTTCTTCATGTCAAAGACAGGATACCATTCATGGCGTATCTTGTCGTACATCATGCGATAAGCAAGAAGTCCAAGCATTATAATTAATGATTTGAATTTGTGAAAAAATAAATTCCCCTCAAATCAGATTTTGTGAACTTCAGATATAAAATTTAATATTTGATAACATAGTCATTTTCATCGAAAAAGAAGATGCTTTATGGCAAATCTGACAGGCAGATTTTTGACCTGTTTGCCAGATGAATATGTCAAAAGTCCAAAAAAATTATTAAAACATATATAATTAATATGGCTGTTGCTTTTTCATTTATTTTTTAACCACCAATTGAAATCAAATTTCATTCGTGTTTTTCATTCTGAAAAAGATAAAGAATTAGCATGATAGTTTTAGACTCCTCATTAAATTTGTATCCATATTTTATTTTCTATTTTTTATAGACACCGCCCTTGACTTCCTGTGTCCCATACAGAAGAAGAACGGGATCTCCAAAGCAATATGTCACTTATTCATGTTCGTATCCCCTATGCAAGGCAAAATTTAGGGTTGAAGAACAAAATGGAGTGTTTACTATAAGCAAAGTTAATGAAGAACATTGCCATCATATAGGAGTTGAAATGGGTTCACATTACGCGAGTAAATTTTATCAAAAATGGATCGAACTTTATATTAAAAACGGTGGAAAGCAATTTCTTGCTCAAAAAGCATTTTTTGATAAGTTCGGAATTGATACGAATAACAAAGAAACGATGAAACTTTTCGCGCAGTCTACTGATGCTTTAAAGCACAAATTTTATCGCCTTGATGAGATTATTGCACAAAGATTATCAAACGATCCTTACACTTCTTTGGAAGCATTTTTGAATAATTTACAGGAAGAGTGCCCAGATGATCTCGTTCAATTTGATTACAATGGAGATTTTTCCGAGTTTACAATCATATATGCACCTTTTGCTGCAAAAGAATTGGTGCATAGCATTGATAACCCTCTCCACGTCGATTCCACTCATTCTTTAATTAAAGGAAAGATCCAATTGTTTGCAGTAACAATGAAAACAAGTCAAAACACAATTTTCCCCTTTTGCTATTTTTTAGTGAACCCTCAGACATCTGAAAAAATTCAAGAATGTTTGGTGAAATTCTGTGAGTTTGCGCACCTGGATCCACAGCATTGGAGCGCTGACTGTGCGCTAAACATTGCTCGCGCAATTGAGGACGGATTTCCTCTTGCGCAGCTCAGTTGGTGCGCTGTGCATGTTTTACGCGCATGTGCAAAAGTTGGAAGCTATTTTGACAATCCACAGAATTTTGAGAACTTCTATTTAGCAATGGACTTTTTGACATTACGTGCAGATGCAACGAATGCAGAAAAGCTGGCTGAAGAGTCTGATGAAACATATGAGTTCTTGACAACAATGTTAGAAGAAGAAGAACCGCGCGCTTTGAAGTATTTCGATAAACAATGGAGAAGAACCAAAGAACATTGGATGATGTTATATCGTGGAGAAGGTGATTCCACGAATAACATTGCGGAATCACACTTTCATCAATTAAAGCAAACATTTTTCTTGGGTAAGAAAAATGAGCGCATTGATGACATCGTCATAACTCTCATCACTGTTGTGATTCCAAATGCGATTATTAAGGTTCAAGTCGCTAATGTTTTGAATGAAGAAAGAGCAGTAAGAATTCTTACAAGGGCAGGTAATCAGATTGTTGAGCAAAGAGCTTCAAAACACGATGAATGTTTGAAATTAATTCAACACATTTTGGAAATTGTCGAAAGCCGAAGGATTGAACCTAATGTCCTTATTCCATCTTTGAAGGCAATATTAAATTTGGCACAAAGAAGTTTAAAGGAAGAGTAAGCAAGATTAGATAATTTGGACTTTTTTTAAAATTAATGAATAAACAGTATATTTTTGAAGTGTAAGCTTATTTACCTGAAGCTATATTACTTAATATAACATTCAAAGTATTATTGCTATTTATTGGAGAACAAATTTATGTAATTTTCACATGAAAATTGATAAATTTGTATTTCCTTATGATAATCAATTTTTGTATTTGTAGAGAGTCTCCCTGCATGATATCAAGACTTGGCTATAAGTCTTTATCCATTTTTGAAAATTGTATTGTAAATTGTAAGAATTTCTGAATACTACTACTATAAAATATAATTGCTTATCTATGTATATTCTCCCTGCATGATATCAAGACTTGGCTATAGTCTTTATCCATTTTTGAAAATTGTATTGTAAATTGTAAGAATTTCTGAATACTACTACTATAAAATATAATTGCTTATCTATGTATATTCTCCCTGCATGATATCAAGACTTGGCTATAAGTCTTTATCCATTTTTGAAAATTGTATTGTAAATTGTAAGAATTTCTGAATACTACTACTATAAAATATAATTGCTTATCTATGTATATTCTCCCTGCATGATATCAAGACTTGGCTATAAGTCTCTATTCATTATGAGTATGACCCCATTTTTTTTACAAAAAGTGCCGAATTGCAACTTTGTCCCAATCTCTGCACCCAATTACTTTTATCGTATTAAAAACGATTTACTTCAAACAGGTTTTATTCCTTCAATTAGAATTCGCGAGCCTCGATTGACAGATTATAAAACAAAATTGAAAAGAGAAGTTCAATCACGTTTATACCAAGTATTAAATTTTGTTCAGAATCAAGAAGCCAATTTGAATCCATTAAGATTTTTATTGGAAAATGCTGAAGAAAAACTTTCTCAAATAAATGAGAAGATACAAAATTCAATTACATATTTAAGATCGTTTGAAATTCCAAATGAATTGTTAGATATGTATATGTTAGAAATTAATGAATTTTGTTATAATTCTCCAGATTATATTTTAGAACATTTCGAAGAATTTTTAGAGGATTTCAAAGAAAAGAATAATTTAATAGACTAAAAAATTTATTATTTTTATTTATTGTGAATTTTAAATTGTCACTTTTTAAATGTTACTCCCTATTGAAAGTGTCACTTTTTGGGTGTCACTTTTTCGGAAATTCTTATATACTCTTCTTTGGTTCATAAGGTATAACAAGTTTGTATGCTTTGCCTTCTTTAAGGTTTGAGAACCTTCTGTCAAAACTTTCTTTGACTGTTAACAAACCTTCTATGTCTAAGTCTTCAAATTTCGCACCATTTTTAGTCACAATAGCAAACTTAACTGGTTCGATGTTCCAAACTTTGCTGAATGAAGACTTTTCAAAATGGTAGAAGTAAACATTCAAATATGTGAATGGGTCTAGTTCTTCTTTAAGTCCTGACATGTACTTGTTTACTGAGATGAATTTCGTCATCTTTTCTATCGGATAAAAAAATATTTTTTTAAAATTTACTCAGAAAAATTTTTCTTTGTATATACACCATTCTGTACGTCTAAAAGACTTTTGACATTTGCCAAGAATGTACGTTTAGAAGCTGCCATATAACCATATTCTTGACAATATTGTTTATATTCATCATATAAAGACTTTTCATCTAAACACTCAAAGTCGCTTTCTTCTATGAACAGTTCATATACACTCTTGTTTGCTTCTAACAATGTTTGTCTCTCTTCGGTATGTGGAATTTGTCTTGGATTGAACTTTGAAATATCTAATGTCATAAAGTATGAAAACAAATGGTTGTAAAACTCAGGTGTCAAAGTTTCTGCTAAGTCGTCAAAATATTCTGTATCTTGCATATGAGAATCTGACGTTCTGACAACTACATATCTTCTGTCAGAACTTTCTAACTTCATCGGAACAGCATTGTTTGAAACCATAATGAAGTTTGCAACATTTTCACAAACTCTTTGGTCTTTATACTTTCTTTCAACAACTCCAACTTTGTCTGTTATAAGACTCTTCAAAGCATCTGAGTTCAAAACTTTTGTTGTATCTATACTTTGAAGTTCATTGCAAACTATAAGTTTCATATTCTCTATTGAGGAGTTAAACTTGCCACAGATGTTTTCTAAGTTTGTCATATTCGGATTCGAATAACCTTCTAACAGTTTGCATAAGATATCTGTAAAGAATGTGTTCTTACCTGTTCCTTGTTTTCCAATTATAATGAGAGCAGTTTCATTTTTAGCACTTGGATGTTGTAAGATGTTTGCAAACCAACATAAGATATACTCATAGACTCTTTCGTTTCCATTGCATATAATTTCTTTGACATGGTCTAACCAAGCTTCTATAATACTGTGTTTCCATTCTACTTGTTCGTATTTATATCCAGTGAAGATAGAATAGAAGTTTGGAGAAGGTGTATAAAACTTTATACCACGAACTGAAAAATCTTCTAACTTTGACAATAAGATATCCCAAGCATCTAACATCTTCATGCCAACTTGTACGACTTTTATTTTCTTAAGTTTCTGTCTACATTCTTGTTCTAAAATTATTGTTGCTCTTGGTTTGTTAAAGACTACATCCCATTCTTTCATGACATAACATTCTGGGGCAGAGTCAACATAAATGACTAAACGTTTCAAATTCTCGACTGCTTTGTTATAGTCTCTAAATGGACACATATTTCTGAATGCTTGGAAGTCATAAAAATCTGAAACATCTATTCTGTACATTTTTATAAAAATAAAAAAATAATATTTTTTTATTCTTGACTTTGTTGTTGCATTTGTTGTTCTTGAGCTATTTGTTGTTGAAGTTGTTCTTGTAATACAATACTTTCACCAGTTGCATCTTCCAATTCGAAACTTTCTGCCGTCATTGACAAATACATAGGACATAAAAGTTTTACAGGAACAAAGTTTGCGTCAACTAATGTCAACGTTATACTTGCCAAAGTGTTTGAGTTCACTAAGGTTGAAAATTCTGCATTCGAATGAACAATAGGCAAACCAGCAGAGAAAGTATTGTTTATACGCATAAGTATCTTTTGGTCATAATAGTTTCTGTCGACATTCGAATAACACTTTGAACCTAAGTTTGAAACAATATATAAGATTGGTGTGCTTAATGTTAATGGAATAGACATTCCTTGTATGACACCTTTTCCTGTTATAGGAAACTGTGGTAGTAAAAACCAGAAATAAGTTTTGTATTATAGCTCATATCGTTTATAGTAAACTCAGTCGGACATCCAAACATAATGAAACCTGCTCTAGTTGCAGCACATGTTACACCTGTACTTAAAGTATTAAATAAGTCAACAAAACCTGTTGGTGGTATATCTGAGTAAGTATCTTCAAAGGAGTATTTTTTACCATTCACAACAATAAAGTCTTCTGGTGTCAAAAGAGCAAAACAGGCTTTAGTCGTCATTGTGTTTAAGGTTAGTTTACAATATCGTCCTTGAGGACTTTGTAAGTTTGTTGTTATAGAATTATATGACTCAGGGTTTTTAGTCGTAATAGTATAAACCATTATGTCTTCTGCCATTTACTTAGCAAATAAATTTTAATGAAATGTTGTGGTCGTCAAATATTTTTATAACGTCTGGGAAACTATATTTTAAGTTCAACGTTTCACCTCCTTTCATAACGTATATCTTGTCAATGACATTATATGAAACACCACAGCAACTAATGTCGGGTTCTATTTCTTTGATGTTTATATCGTCTGCCTCTGTCAAAAGTTTCAATAGTTCTTTCAAAACTTCATGAGGTGCAATGACATATGAGTTCACTTTTACAGGGTTGTGTTCGACCAAGTTTAACATTATACTTAAAGCTTGACAAATCTTCTCCTGAGTTTGAAGTTTGTCTTTCAGTTGTTGGTAGTCGTTTCGAATATCTGCAACAGAACTTAAGTCTCTGCTAACTTCAGGATATGTTGGTTGTTCTTTTACAGGAACTATTGTTATACCATCTTCGTCTTCGTATGGTTTCCCCACTTCAACATCTCTGTCTTTGACATTGACAATAACACTTTGACTGTTTGTTTGAGTTGGTGAATTTAACTTCACATCTGCCACCGCCATTAAACCTTTTGAAACACTTACGCTTCTATTTTTCGGAAATGACATTTTACTTAGAATAAAAAGATGGACGTATTCGGATATCTTATTGAATTGAAGCAGAACAAAGTTTATACTCACAAACAATACAAATACATTGACAGAATAGTTCTTTACACAAACAATGGAAAATGTTATAGAATAGCAGTCTTTGCTGAACCTAAATATTTTCATAAAGCAAAGAAAGTTGGTATAACTGAAATGGTGAAAGTTCTTGAAGCAGACAAAAATATAACTTCAAAACTTACAGATATTACTAAAGGAAAGTTTATAATACAATATTATGTCAAAACTGGCGTACTGTCAATATTTGACGGAGAGAAGTCAGTTCAAGAACAACTTACTGACCTGCTGCCAAAATCTGTTCGATGGAAGCTGTCGTTATGCCAATCTGAGGAGCCCCAGCAGGTTTCATCGAACGAATCTTCAAAAGAGCATCTTCCGTGAAAAGTGCTATTGGTTTTGTAAACTTCTTTGCTCTCAATTCATCTGGACCGTCTCTGTCACCAGTATATTGTATTTGTACAGTACCAACAGTTGAAATACCACCCATAAAGTCTTCTGAGTCAGCAAATGGAATGCCAAGCCAAAAGTTTGAACGGTCTCCATTTGTATATTGAGTTTTTTGACCTCCTGTATGAGTCCATACTTTCACATATGGCATAATAGAACTTTGCATTTCAGGGTTAATGGTTGTTGTGAAGTTGTTGTTAAAGTTCATAGCATCTAATGTCAAGTTGTATGACCTCATATCCTCAACCGTAGAATATTCTTCTCTTGGATAATATTTGCCATCTATGTTTATATGATATTTAATACCAGGGTTGTAGAAACAAGAATAGTCATTTATAGTTCGTCTGAACAGTACAAACATAGTATCTGCATGTTTCATTGCAGTTGTTAAAGCAATATCTGTTCTTGCACCTGGTCAGCACTTTGGTTTCCAACTTCACCTGCAAAGTCTTTGACAGATATTTGGTGTATAGGGAACATAAGTGGAACTGCAATATATTTGGCAGCTAAAGCATTTGAAATATCTGGGTCCAACATATAGACTGCAAGTCTGCTTTCTATTCTCTTGCATTCAAATTTTTCGCATGTGAACTTAACTGGGTCCCAAGCATCTCCAGCAGCATTGAAATAATAGTTTACTTCAGTGTTGAGGTTTGAGAAACCAAAGTCTAAGTCAACTTTGTCTTTGCAAAATTCGGCGAATGACGTTTTATTTGTTCCCTTTACGTCTGTAAGAGTGAATGGGTCTTGTGTTGGTGCAATGACTAAGTTATTTTTGCTTGGAGTAAGTTCGATAGAAATTTTTCCTGCCCAGTTTGGCAAGTATCTTAAAAACCTGAAGATGAGGAAAGATGACAAAGGAACTCTAAGTTTCAGTTTTACTTTGGTTACTGCTGCTGCAGTTTGTCCAGAAAGGTTAACATAAACTCCTGGAACGTTAGGGTCAAGTCTTCTTATTTTCTCAATAGTTGCATACTGGTCTGTTTGTTCTCTAGCTTGTGGTTGTACTGAGTTTCTCAAAGCGAACCATTCATAGTTTGCCCATGTTACTGTTTGAACTAAGTCAGAGTTAGAATATATCTTATATCCCATGAAAACTTCTGGAGCATATTGGTATCCGACATAGAAAATTCCATTGCAACCTTTCTTGTCAGACAACTTGGCAGAAGGTTTTATTTCAATGTCTTGTTCCACGTATAAGAATGAGTTGTCAATAGAAATAATATGAAACCTGTCGCAAGCAATATCTACTGTTGTTGAAGAACCTTCTCCAAACTCACCTAAGTTTCCATAAGAAACAGCAGTTGTATATTCGTAAGTTCCAGGAACTATTTCTGACCTTCTAATGGCATTGTCGCATTCGTTATACCATTCGGAAACATTTCCGTTCATGGCATCCAAAACTGTTGGCGTTATATTCTGAGCGGCGTACATTTCATATGGGTAAAAATATAGAATAGTTGGATTTATATGTCATAATAGAACCCACTCGGACCAAGCTTTACTTTCTTCCTGACTGAGTTTTTAACTCTTCTTTTTCCTTCATTGCCACTACTTTCACTAGATGAAGTTACTTCTTCACTACTTTCACTTTGTTCTACTCTTCTCTTCTTCTTTGGTGTCGCTTTTGGTAACTTGCCCTCTGCTTCAAGTTGTTGCATCTTTGCCTCATGTTCACCTAGTATGTTGTAAATTTCCCATGTCCTTTTTGCCTTTGGGCTCTGGTCGCCCATCTCAGGTAACCTATATCCTAGAAAGATTTTGTCATAGTTTGTATTTGAGTCTTCGCTTATTGTTTTGCATGACTCTTTCCTGAGTTTCCGGTTCAAGCTCTTCAAACAGAGCTTGTCCATATGGAATAAGCTCGTTTCCAAATATATGTTTTTGTAGCCATTCTGGTTTTCTTTCCATGTTACCAATAATATCTTTTGTGAATGGGAAAGCTTTACCCAATGTTTCAGTCTTGCGTCATTTATTTCTGTAGTTGGTTTTATTTTGTCAAGGAACATGTTTTTCAATACTAACATTTCATTTGGTACTGTCCATTTGAGTTTTCTTAAATATTCATCCCTTCTCAGTTCATTGTCTGCAAAGTAAGTTTTTATGACATTTTGCAAACTTTCGTTTGCAAGGTCATGTACAATAGGTTCTCTTCCTTCTCTCTCCCTAACTTTCTTTCTAAACTCTTCACCAAATATACCATCTCTATGGTTCTGTGTAGTTCTTTGAGATAAATGTTCTAGAACGTCAGGTGTTATATTTCCTTCAGCCATGTTCATTTCATACTGTCCAAAATATCTGCATGTTTCATATCTTTCAATGGCATTAAAGCGCGCTGAAAATACCAGCTATATCTGGTTCACCATTCACTTCCATTGCGTCTACAACTTCTTGGAATTGAGGTTGTAAGTTTATGAACCACCTATCCGGATTAGCATTATGACCCCATCTCATTGTAGTTCCATAGTCTGCAGAAACAAAAGTAGGTTTTGTTTCCATATTGGTTAGGTTCTGAATGAACTTTAAACAATGTTTCATTTCTATATGTTTTGTTGAAATTTAACCTTTTATTTTCACCGAGTTCAGCCAAAGATTGAACGTTATATGGTCGTAAGTAAAAAGGATTATTGTATTTGCGTACATTATCTTTCAGTACTTCCATTCTATGCTGAATATTTTCATCTGATGTTGGAGTCTTTTGTATGTCGGTAAACATTTTTCGATATTCTTCTACTATGTCAGCCGAATTTTTCTTAGACTCTTGGAAAGATTCCATATTCACCTCATACTCTTGTTGAGGGTCAAGATTTTTCGGCTGTTCCAAATCTTCATCTAGTTCTGTGAAGTTAGTTTCCAAAGGAGGGACTTGTTCGTTTCCTTCAGGCTCTTCTAGCTGTTGTTGCTGAACTATTTCTTCCATGTCTGGTTGTATCTGAACTTCTTCCTGTTGAGTTTCTTGTACCTCATCTGCTGGCATTTCATATATTCCGAGACCGTTTTTAACAAGTTCCCTATCTAAGTCATCCGGACTCATAAACCTTTCTTCTTTCGTTCCGTCTCTATTTTTTACGCGTTTCATGAAGAGAGTTGAATTATCATTTAGCTCTGACACCAAATATCTCGGAGTAAATTCATTCATGTCATTTGGATGATATGCTATTAAATCATATCCCTTAGCGAGCTTGTATTTTCCAGGTTTGAGATTATATCCCATTTGATGCTGAACCATAAAGCTAAATAGGTTCGGGTCAGTATTTCCTTCCTTGAACTTTCTAATAGCTTCTTTATATCTGTCACTAAAGTCAAGAGTATCTGGGTAACCATAATCTTCCTTAAGCATTTTTAAGAATTCTTGGTTTCCTTTTTCTCTACTTCTTTTATGTCCTTGCTCTGTTTGTGGTTGTTGTGCAGGGTTTTGAACTGTTGGTTGCTGTGTTGGTTGTTGTTGTTGTGCTGGATTTTGAACTGTTGGTTGTGGTGCAGGTGCAGGGGTTTGAACTGTTGGTTGTTGTGCAGGGTTTTGAACTGTTGGTTGCTGTGTTGGTTGTTGTTGTTGTGCTGGATTTTGAACTGTTGGTTGTGGTGCAGGTGCAGGGGTTTGAACTGTTGGTTGTTGTGCAGGGTTTTGAACTGTTGGTTGCTGTGTTGGTTGTTGTTGTTGTGCTGGATTTTGAACTGTTGGTTGTGGTGCAGGTGCTGGATTTTGAACTGTTGGTTTTGGTTGTTGTTGTGGTGCTGGATTTTGAACTGTTGGTTGTTGTGTTGGTTTTGGTGCATGCCTGTGTCTGTGTCCATGTGACGATGTAAATGTTTTAGGTAGTCCTGGTGCAGGTGCTTCTCTTGGAGGGTTTGGTGGTATATAAGTTCCACCAGCTGGCACATATGTTCCATCTGCAGCATAATGTCCTACCTGACTTTTCGTTCTTAAGAAAGCATTTACTAGGTCTGTTTTGGTCTGTTGTAACTTTTTTTCTTGACTTTCCACAACAGTTGCTCTAACGGCGTCATAGGCACTTTGAACTGCCTGTCTCGTTGCTGCATCTGTTATTTCGTCATATTTTGTGCTACTTCTCTTAACTCTTTGTCGAAACCTTCAGACTTCAGTTTCTTTCCAGATGAGAAGTCGTTCACTAGTTTCACCTTACTATGAAGAGCTTCGAAGGCATTCTTAAAGTCAGCATTCACTAAAGCTTCATTTTGAACTGTCTTCATCCGCTTGTATTTTTGTCCTTATTGACCCTATAAGTTGGGCTGCTTTAGCGTTGGCTTGGGCATCTAACCAGTCATTATTAGCTTTTATAATATCTGCACTTTTCATTGCCTTTTGCATGGCTGCGTCGTTATTTTTTACTTTCTTGTGCTAAGTTTTCATTACTGTACGGTTTGGTTTTGCAACTGTAAAAGTTTTTCTGCCTTTACATTTGCTTCAACTTCTTTTTATACTCATCGCTATCCATATATGTCTTCATGGCTTTTTGTTTTATCTCTTCATCTTTCAGTACTTTATATTGAGTAGTATGGTTTTTCAAATTTATAACATCTTGTTCCATTTTTGCTACTTCTGCTGCTTTTTCTGACACTTTTTTCGCATATTCCTCTGTACTTAGTTCTTTCAGTTGTTCTTCTTTCTTCTTTTCTCTACGTTTAAATCATTTAGTTTCTTTGTCTGTCTGTCATATTCTAGTTTCTTTCGTTTTCACTTATTTGTTTCTGTATGTCTATGTTTGACTTTTTGACATCTGTTATTTGATTTTTGAGTGAACTCAAATTCATTTGACTTTGAGGGTTATAAGCTGTTCGTCTGCAGCTCCACCATAGCCTGCCATTTTCGCTAAAAGTGCCGCTCTTAAACCTCCACTCTGTGCACCAATAACTCGGTTTAAAAGCAATAGGGTGCTTGACATTTGTTGCAACATAGTGGGTCATTCATCATTTGTTGTTGCAACTGTTGTATGGTGTCAGTTTTACTATTGGATGTTTCAATGCTCCCTTCCTCTTACGTATATTCTTACGTAGCTTACGTGGCATTTTAAGTGAAGTTAAAAAGCGGTTTTTGACAGATGTTTATATGACACTTTTTGTTCAGCTCAAAAAACTACTCGGTCAAAGTGTTGTCAGTTTTGTAAAATAACCGTCCTATCTCATTCTATAAGGGGAAAAAGGCTTCTCAAAGTATACTTCCTTGGAACGCCTGTAACTTTTCCTGTAGCGACGATAGATCCTTACTTGTCCGGACAAAGTTATACTATTTTGAGTGCTCTACAAAAAAGTCACCGGCTGGCTCGTCCTCAGAAATTTTTTAGGGGGTAGAGGGCACAAAGTGCCTGGAACTCATTTTGGCTTTGTTGGAAGTAAAAGCATGGATGGTTATGTATAACGTCTAAAGTTTCTAAAGAGTCTCTCAAAGTCCAGTCTACTTGGTATTGAAAATCCCATGTGTTATAGAACGGCGGGTCCACTATAAAGAAAACATTTTCCTTGTCTTTATATTTTTCATACAACTCTGTCCAATGACATCTCACAAACTCTATACCCTCAATATATTTTTCTATGTCCTCTTTGAAAACATTTGTATAGTTAAGATATAAAACTTTTGACATAAGTGTTTCAATGTCATGAACTCTTATAGCACCACTATATAATAGTCTAGCAGATATACTATCCCAGTCTATATATTCTGCTTTTTTCAAAACCTCTCTCACAATATTTTTCTTATCTAATGGTATACGTTCCATCTTACCTATAGGTATCTTTTCTTTTAACTCTTTCAATATATTGTTTGTGTCTGGAATATGTTTGAGACGGTCCATATAGTTGTCGAAGTCATTGCATATAATCTTTGAGTCAGGAAATACGGTATAACATAAATGGGATATATAGAAACTTCCACCGAACAAATCTACAAATGTTAGACCATTCGGTAGTTTCTTAAGTTCTCTCAATATAATATCTTTACATCTACTCTTATTTCCAAAGAACGGTAACGGCGGTTTTGTAAAATTCATTTATATATAATAATAAAAATGTTTTTACCCGAAAAGTGGCAAAACATGAAAACATATATAATTTGTGAAAAGTGACATAAAAAGTGACACTATTAATATGATGTAAATAACAATGGTTTTGGTTTTGTCACCGGCTGGTCGGCTGGGGTTCGGTCCTCCTCTTGGGTCTTGGGCAAAATTTCTTATGGGCTAGAGGGCGCAACGCGCCTGGAAGCCCCACTTACCTGACCTTATACACTTATTAATTCATTAATGATCTTATCTGATGGAATCAATGGGAACTACAATTTCGATTTTTTTTTAGTGGCCGAAAAAATTTCATGGTAAAAAGCACAGATTAGATGAAAATAAACGATGTATTTGAAACTGGTAATATTACATATTCTATTATAGATGTGCTTCAAAGAGAAATTCGTGTCGGAACCGGAGTTTTTAATGACACCATTTCAAATGCTGTTAATAACTCATACAATGGATCGATTACTATTCCAAATTTTGTTGTCTATGATAATAAATTATGGAGAGTTACTGAAATTGGGCAATGTTCGTTTGTGCACTGTAATAATATTACAAATTTTGTTATTGGTTATAATATTGCTTATCTTCGCCAATATGCGATCTACAGATGCTACAATGTCAGTAGCATAATATTTGAAGAACATAGCCGTTTGAAAAAATGTGAAACATACAGTTTATATGATTTATATAGTTTGAAAGAGATTTCATTTGGAGGGGATCGTCTTGAATCTCTGGGAAAGTATGCAATGAGTTATACATTCTTCCTTGAATATATTAGATTGCCTGCTTCTGTGATTAATGAAAGCGCATTTAAAGGTTTGGATTCCCTCAAAGAAGTTCATTATTGTGGAAAATCTTCAATAACTAATGATATTTTCTTTAGGGTTAAAGTGAATGATTATTTGACTCCAAGTGACATAAAAGTTAAAGTGACATCCAGTTATCCATCAACTACATTTGGAAAAAATGATACTGTAATAGTTGATGATTCTATTGATTGTGATTTCCCTCAGTCGCTTAGTGATTTCGATCTTTTATGCAAAACTGTTTATAATAATTATAATATCCATTTATCTTATTCTTACTTCTCCATATTCATTCTGATGTATGATTCATAAACCAAGCTTTTATTATGTATTGCCTATTTCCTTCTTAAAGTTCTTTGAAAGCTAACAAACAATAAACTTAAAAGATGTTTTATTTACACTTTAATTATAGTTAAAATATATTGCTTTAATTTTAGCGGTTTGAGTAGATTTTGTTGATTACCTGTAATTAATAGGCCCAATTAATTTTGCTGATTTATCTAATTGGATAAGAGTATCGAGTCTATTCTCTTGGTTATATATATTTTTATGATGTTTTGATATTAATATGTTCATTTAGGATTATTTATCAGTTAAAAAAAATGAACAATACCGGAAAGTTTAACATAATAATCATTGCAAAAAGAATCTGTTTTGGGTCTTCATCAGTTGTTCGATAATTTCACCAGTCAAAATAGTCTGGACTGCACAATCACAGTATTTATTTTGTTCTTTCTCTTCTGATGATGAAATTGATTCTGAATGCTCTTTGACTTCAGCGCACCCATCTTTATCGGCTTGCTCCATTGATTCTTTCATCTCTTGAAGTTTTTCTTCTTTTTCTTTGTTTAACTTTTCTTGGTTTGTTTCTGGAATCTTTTCTTCAGTTTTTTGATTATCTTCATTTTCATTTCTCGCTGGTACAGGTTCTTCTTCAACCTTTTCTAGTTTTGGAACTGCCTTCTCTTGTAGATCTGGATAATTTTGATATTTTTCGATGATTCGCTCGGCCATCAATCTTGCATAAAAAGATGCCGCATCAGCACTGCAATATCTACCCCAGGTATAATCAATCATCATTTTATGGGCAAATTCTTTTGGAATTTTAATTGCCTTACCAAAAATTTCGGCAACCAATTTTGCAATGATGCCAGAAACATATTTACCTCTGATTGTTCGACAGAGTTCGACTTCAATTTCTTTTGCAAGGCTCTCAACACGCTTTTTCTTCAACTCTCCTCTTCTTCACTCAATTGAGCATCTTTCTTCATTTGTTCAAGTTTATCATTTATTAAATCAGCAAGATCAATTGCAGTATCACAGCTGATATACCTTCCTCTGAAGTATTCAATTAATATTTTGTATGCTAATTCTTCAGTTAGACCGAGTTGCTCAGTGAATAATTTGGAAACATGTTTTGCCTTCTCGTAGCCAACGTAACCACCTTGGAGTGTATGAAATTTGAATACTCAATTTACTATTACATTGAGAATATCAGCATAAAATGCTTTTCATATCATTCCTTATGGATAAGATTTAAAAAAAAAGTAATATATATGAAAAAAAAAACATATAATTTTTCAAGAATTTAGCTTCATTAGCAATATTAAATCATTTATAAGCAACTATAGTCAATAGAGACTATGATTTTAATGAGTTTATTTGAACAATAGATAAATATAGGAATATTCAGTTTTGATATTTTTGTTCATCTGCAGGTATTCCTTAATAAAGATAGATATTAATTTTACATCATGAATATATTTCAATTCCAGAATATTATGAGATTACACCTCAAAATCCTCGAGGATTTCTACAATAAAATACTATCACAATTCTAAATTTTGGTATAGATAAACAACAACAGAGCATTTTATTATGAAAATTAAACAAAATATAACCAAGGAGATTCCAAAATCTTTTCTGCTGATGGTCTGTTCTTAGGAATTATGAATAAGAGAGGTTTAAGGAACTCAGTGAGTTCCTCAGCATCTTGTTCTGTGAGTCCATATTTAATAAGTAAATTATATAAGCAAGGAAGTTGTTTCTTGTAAGTTGCAATGAGTCCACCATGTCTGTTATAGAGTTCTGGATAGAATTTACCGTTTTTGGCCCAATCTCTTGGTATTGTTCCCAAAACATATTCCATCATTGAGAGTTGAACAGCATCAAATAGGTCTCTGTTCTTAGATGTCTCTTCTACATCAGGATCTGGAAGAACGGGGTCGAATAAATGATGTCTTTGGCTAATTCAAAAGTCATACAGCCTAAACTCCAAATATCAGCGGAGCAATCGTAAGGAAGACCAAGAAGTACTTCAGGCGATCTGTATTGACGAGTTTGAATTAAGTCGTTCATGATTTCATCGACAAAACAAGAATTTCCAAAATCTCCGAGTTTGAAATTGATTGTAGACTCATCATCTTCGAGGCAATTAAATACTTCTCTATTATCATCCTCAGAAAACGGTCCGTATGGGAAAATTGGCCTTTCTGCGAAGACATTTTCTGGTTTTAAGTCAGTATGAATTGTACCATGCTTGTGCATAAAGTCCAAGCCTTTGAGAGTGTCCAATACAATCTTTTTAACGAGTTTAAGTGGAATTGGAACGTAATTGTCATCGAAATAGTTAATAAACGTTAAAATATTCTGTGAAACTAATTCAAATACCAAGCAGCAGTGATCCTCGTAATAGAAAACGTCATGAAATAGCGTAATATGCTTTGTTGGATCATCAATTGCGGAAAGATATGAATTAAGTACTAATTCATCCTCGAATTGTGAATCATCTTGATTTGAATCAAATGCTTTCTTTAATATTTTGATTGCAACATTCTCACATCTTAAATAATCATAAGCAAGCCAAACTAAGCAAAATGTTCCACGACCAATCATTGTTTTGATTTGGTATCTATGAGAGAGAACCATATTTTGATGAAGTAATAAGTGGCCTTCGTCGAAATCGCTGCGATATAATTTATCAAGCTGGTCCATTTTATCTCCGGAGTAAGTCTTTCCTGGTTCTGTTCCAAAGAAGTAAGGAGATGACTCATCCTCTTGTTCCTCATGGAAATCTTCTTCCTGGAAGTCTGAACTTGATGCCATTTTTTTCTGTTCACTTTTGGATATCCAATGGACTGAATTTAACGGTATTGTCCGCAAATACCAAACAATTTATTACATATCATTTATTTCCAATAAAATTATCAAATAAAATATGATAATAATCGAATTTCAAAATCAGTTTCAGCGTTTAAAGCTTTTATAGATATGAAGTTGATCTACTAAGTCAATGCATAGCAGAGCTTTCATATATAGATGAACGGATTCTATCCGATTTCAAAAGCAAATTGCTCGCCTCATTTTTGCAAGAGTTATCATGGTATAAGTAGATAAGATTGGATATGGCACGAATCCCTGAGATATTTTACTCTATTAGTGATATTCAAGAATCAAATCACATCTTTCTCGTGGACGAGCTTGCAAATAAAAGTTCTCAGAGAATTAGAAAGAGTGGAAGCATATCTACTCGAAAATTTTTGCTAATTGCTTCTAAAAATTGACAAATTTTGAAATGTCAAGATTTGGAAAAGGACACTTAGACAAGAAAGGTGGCCTTTCCGGACCAGGATCTGGTCGTCCCAGAGCTCCTTTACCGGAGAGAGCCAACCTTGTAAATTATCGTGTTGTTCAACGCGATCTTGTGTATGTAATCGGCATACCAGTTGAAATTGCGCAAGAATCAATTCTGGAAAAATACGAGTATTTTGGACAGTATGGACCTATCAAGAAAATTGTTGTAAATTCTAGCGTTCATCAACAAGGATATCAAAGACCTACAGTAAGCGCTTTTGTTACATTTTGTAAAATAGAAGATGCACTGGAATGTATATATAGCTTAGAATCTTTCACTTATAATAATCATCCAATTAAAGCATCATTAGGTACCTCAAAATACTGCTCTAATTTCCTTTTTGGACAAAAATGCAATAATCAGGACTGCATGTACCTACATCATAACGGAGATCCTAAGGATTCCTTTACAACAGAAGAAATTCAAGCAAATTCACCCAGATTTACAGAAACAACGCGCCCAACAAGGCCACCAGATTACAACAAATATCCTTTACAGAATTCGAAAGAAACAGTTTTCCCACCAAGGAGAATATTGAATATACAGATATCAGATTCAGAAGATTCCCAACCCGAGGAAGAATATATCGAGGAGGAAGATGAAGAAGAAATCCACGAGGAAGAAGAGCCTGATCGCTCTGATTTCTTGAAAGATTTATATAGAAACGGATTTCCAGCTGTTCCTCCTTTACATGTTGATTATTCCGTCAACATGAGTCTTATGCAGCAGCTCAACCTTGACAGAGCTTCGATTAGATCGTATTTGCATCAGAAATGAAAAGAATTTGTTTTTCTTTAAGCATTGTGTGAATATCAGTTGGTAAAAATATTATAAATATTATATCGTTTATTTATTTCAAGTTTTTTCTTACCAAATTTTCTTATTCTGAATTTATCTATTTTCATCTTGATATGTTATCATAAATCATCTAGTTTAGAAATACTGATCTTATTTTAGAACATTAATGAATTGGATTTGAAATTAATTGATAAAAAATCTTCTGTAAACTATTTATCAAAAACATAAATCGTCATAATGACATATAAAATAGTTTTTCTATCATCAGCTTTCATGTGCATAGTTAAAATTTATTGATGAAATGATTTGTATAAGTAACATCAAAGGGAGCTATATCAATTATACAAATTACGTTTTACCAACATAAGAAATTTACATTTGTAATAATATACTCTAGGAAAAAATCAAAATTTGAGTTGTAATTTTTTTTATTAGAAAAAAGAAATAAAACATGAAAATAACTATTATATAACAACATTTATTCTAATCACTACTGCTATCACTGCTATCGTCATCATCGAACATACTTTTCAGTTTGGATGATGTTTTCTTTGTAACTTCCTTCGATTCTGTGTATTTTTCAAGTTCGTCATTAATTTCCGATATTCTAGAAGTGATAATCATGTTTTGTTCGGAATGAAATTCAATAAATTTTTCATGAATTGCAATTTCTTGTTGTGTAAATTGTTGGAATAGTGAAAGGTTCTTGGTGTCATCTGGTAATTCAGTTAATTTCTTTTTGGTTCTTAATAATTCATTTGTTAACTCAAGATAAGTCTGTCCAGCTGCAGAAACATCAATTGTGCTGTTAGTTGCATTAAGAGTGATATCATTTAGAAGCTCATTGCAATACTCTGGTTGGAATATTGATTTTCTTGAGTAAAAAGCAACAGCTTCCTTGCATTTTTCAATTGATGGCTGTATCATCGATTTAGATATTTTAATAATAGATGCTTTGATAACTGGTTTGAAGCTTTCGATAAAATTAGGGTAAGATGCTGAGAGTCTGCTTAGGATATCTGCATTTATGTTAAGTATTGCACTGTGACTTTTATAATCGTCATTTAATGATTCGATAATTTTAAGTAATTCATCAATAATTATTTGAAATTGAGTTAAATGCATAAAAAGATAACGAGAAATCGCAACATTTGGTTTATTATTTTGAACGAAATATTCTATTGCTTGTTTTAACCTGTTATTAATGTTCTGGTGGATTTCTTCTTCACTATAATCCATTTTCTGTCACTTTTTGATATATTTGTCACTTTTATATGATACCAAAATTGCCTTCTGATGATGAAAATCCTCTTAATATTCAAAAGAGAATTGATGACTCTGATGATTATGAAGAGGATGTATCATCAGAATACGAGTTTTCCGAAATTCAATTTCTTGATTCATCAATTGAATTGATAAATCAAGATGAACTTGCTGAAGTCATCAAGTTGGCTAAAAACAAAAACATTCTTCCAGCTTTTACTGAATCAAGTCAACAATATTTATTATCATTATTACAACAGGAAGCATGTTACGGAGAATATGCATATCAGTTACTAAAACTGTATCAAAGAGCCAAAATCATCTCAAGTTTAAACTGTATTGAAGAAATTTGCAAATCCGAAAAATTTAGTAATCCAGAAATCAAATTTATTAATCATTACTGCGGTAACAGAGTCTCTAAACTCATTTGCAACGAAAATTTTATATCAAAACTATTAAATAATTTAGATATATATCCTTCAAAGGATGAATACATATTTGAACTGCTTAATAACATTATACGATTTGCAATCACACAATTCAAACCATTTTTGCCAGTTCTTGAAGAAAAAACTTTAATTTCACCAAAATATTTTAATCAGTTTCTTGATGCAATTGGACATTATGCTATCAAAACTGCAGATGATGTTTTGGCTCTTTTTCAGTCCAATTTTTTGAAGAAATTATGAAAATTTTCCAAACTAATGCATTTCAAGAGAATATTATATATTTCATTACAGATTTAATTGCATCAAAGGCTTTAAATTTCTCTCAGCTATTTCCAATACTTGAAAAATATAATCTTTTTGGATTTTTCTTGGAAATAGAGATATCTGATTCAGATCTATTCTTCAATCTACTAGAAATGATTAAAGAAATATCAGTGCTCCCTGATTCCTATGATTTTCTTATTAAATCTGGAATAATTTCAAAATTATTTGAAGCAATGCAAAGTTCAATTTCATTTAATGCAAAAAAGATCATTATAAAGTGCTTTTCTACAATACTTTATTACGCATCAGATGAAGTTATTAATTATTTTATTGAAAATAATGTGATGGAATATTTAAAGATGAGTCTTGATTTAGTCAGATCCAAAAAGAATTTAGTGCATACACTCAGCTCAATTAGTAATATAGTTGATGCTTTAATGAAAGAGAATAGAATTGATGAATTAGAAGAAATATATAATGACTCAGACTTGTATTCAAGAGTAGAAGAAATTAATGATAAATATAAAGATAGATCCAGTGAAAGGACCGAGGAAATTCGAATTGAAAGCTTTTCATTATATTCGAAACTTCGTGAAATGAACTTAGAATAAATTGTTTGTATATTAGTATTAGTGTTGTATCTCTTAAACAAAATTCATTTTTTGAAAATTGCGAAAACTTTTATATGCTAATTGCATTTTAATGGACTTTGATTACTTTCAGACAATTTCTCTTGAGGAATCTAGCCATTATAGTACATTCGAAATCAAAAAAGCTTTTGATTTTAATTTCGATCCATCTGAGTATTGGGTTGCAAACACATATAATGGATATTTTAAAATTTGCTTCCCTTTCCATTATCTTTCAATCGAATCTTTTGAAATCACCACATCAAGCAAAGATTGCCGTCCAGTTAAGATTGCAGCCGAAGCTAGTGCAAATGGTATAGATTACAGAGGACGCCAAGAGTATGAGCCTCGTATGGAAAAAGGCACTACAAAGCAATTTTTATTTAATTACAATACAAGCTTAATTAAATGCTTTAAATTTTATTCTATTCAATCTACATGTCAGGATATGGGAGGTGATATAAATCAATTCGAGTTCTTCGGATACCTTTATGATATTAATGCGACAATGAAACATTTTGGATGCTACAAAGCAATGCATTTATCTTGTAATTTCCATTATAGTTTCGGGTCAATAGGACTATTTCTTATTTTTTCAATTTTGTAAAAAATCTTTTTAATGTTTTTATAAATAAAAAAAAAAAAAAAAAAAGGCAGTGGGGCCTCCAGGCACTTCGTGCCCTCTAGCCCCGAAGATGTTAGTATAAAATGAGTTTAGTATAAAATGAGGTTTTTTTGGGTATAGGGGGCCTTCCAGGCACTTCGTGCCTTCTAGCCCCTAAAATTTTTGTAGAGAACTCAAAATAGTATAACTGTTGTCCGGACAAGTAAGGGTCTATCGTCGCTACAGAAAAGTTACGGGCGTTCCAAGTAGACTGGACTTTGAGAGACTCTTTAGAAACTTTAGACGTTTTACATAACCATCCATGTTTTTACTTTACATCCGATAAAAAGTGGTTTGGAAACCGTTATGAGATGGTTAGAGGACATACATGACTATGAGTTTTAGATAGAATATGAGAAGGTCCTATAAACCGGAGAAAGTGTCATATAAACATCTGTCAAAAGCCGCTTTTTAACTTCACTTAAAATGCCACGTAAGCTACGTAAGAATATACGTAAGAGGAAGAGAGCATTGAAACATCCAATAGTAAGACTGACACCACAACAACAGTTGCAACAACAAATGCTGAATGACCCCACTATGTTGCAACAAATGTCAAGCAATCCTATGCTTTTAAACCGAGTCATTGTGTGCACAGAGTGGAGGTTTAAGAGCGGCACTTTTAGCGAAAATGGCAGGCTATGGTGGAGCTGCAGACGAACAGCCTATAACCCTCAAAGTCAAATGAATTTGAGTTCACTCAAAAATCAAATAGCAGATGTCAAAAAGTCAAACATAGACATACAGAAACAAATAGGTGAAAACGAAAAGAAACTAGAATATGACAGACACACAAAGAAACTCAATGAGTTAAACGTAGAGAAAAAGAAGAAAGAAGAACAACTGAAAGAACTAAGTACAGAGCAATATGCGAAAAAAGTGTCAGAAAAAGCAGCAGAAGTAGCAAAAATGGAACAAGATGTCATAAATTTGAAAAACCATACTACTCAATATAAAGTACTGAAAGATGAAGAGATAAAACAAAAAGCCCTGAAGACATATATGGATAGCGATGAGTATAAAAAAGAAGTTGAAGCAAATGTAAAGGCAGAAAAACTTTTACAGTTGCAAAACCAAACCGTACAGTATGAAAACTTAGCACAAGAAAGTAAAAATAACGACGCAGCCATGCAAAAGGCAATGAAAAGCGCAGAATATATAAAAGCTAACAATGACTGGTTAGATGCCCAAGCCAACGCTAAAGCAGCCCAACTTATAGGGTCAATAAGGACAAAAATACAAGCGGATGAAGACAGTTCAAATGAAGCTTTAACAAATGCTGACTTTAAGAACGCCTTCGAAGCTCTTCATAGTAAGGTGAAACTAGTGAACGACTTCTCATCTGGAAAGAAACTGAAGTCTGAAGGTTTCGACAAAGAGTTAAAAGAAGTAGCACAAAATATGACGAAAATAACAGATGCAGCAACGAGACAGGCAGTTCAAAGTGCCTATGACGCCGTTAGAGCAACTGTTGTGGAAAGTCAAGAAAAAGAGTTACAACAGACCAAAACAGACCTAGTAAATGCTTTCTTAAGAACGAAAAGTCAGGTAGGACATTATGCTGCAGATGGAACATATGTGCCAGCTGGTGGAACTTATATACCACCAAACCCTCCAAGAGAAGCACCTGCACCAGGACTACCTAGAACATTTACATCGTCACATGGACACAGACACAGGCATGCACCAAAACCAACACAACAACCAACAGTTCAAAACCCTGCACAACAACCAACAGTTCAAAATCCAGCACAACAACCAACAGTTCAAAATCCAGCACAACAACCAACAGTTCAAAATCCAGCACAACAACAACCAGCACAGCAACCAACAGTTCAAAACCCTGCACAACAACAACCACAAACAGAGCAAGGACATAAAAGAAGTAGAGAACAAGGAAACCAAGAATTCTTAAAAATGCTTAAAGAAGAGTGTGGTTTCCCAGATACTGTTGACTTTAGTGACAGATATAAAGAAGCTATTAGAAAGTTCAAGGATGGAAATACTGACCCGAACCTATTTAGCTTTATGGCTCAGCACCAAAACGGATATAATCTCAAACCTGGAAAATACAAGCTCGCTAAGAGATATGATTTAATAGCATATCATCCAAATGACATGAACGAATTTACTCCGAGATATTTGGTGTCAGAGCTAAATGACAATTCAACTCTCTTCATGAAACGCGTAAAAAATAGAGACGGAACGAAAGAAGAAAGGTTTATGAGTCCGGATGACTTAGATAGGGAACTTGTTAAAAACGGTCTCGGAATATATGAAATGCCACCAGATGAGGTACAAGAAACTCCACAGGAAGAAGTTCAGATACAACCAGACATGGAAGAAATAGTTCAGCAACAACAGCTAGAAGAGCCTGAAGGAAACGAACAAGTCCCTCCTTTGGAAACTAACTTCACAGAACTAGATGAAGATTTAGAACAGCCGAAAAATCTTGACCCTCAACAAGTGTATGCGGAGAATATGGAATCTTTCCAAGAGTCTAAAAAAAATTCGGCTGACATAGTAGAAGAATATCGAAAAATGTTTGCCGACATACAAAAGACTCCAACACCAGATGAAAATATTCAGCATAGAATGGAAGTACTGAAAGAAAATGTAAGCAAATACAACAACTCTTTTTACTTACGAGCATTTAACGTTCAATCTTTGGATGAACTCGGTGAAAATAAAAGGTTAAATTTCAAGAAAACATATAGAAATGAAACATTGTTTAAAGTTCACTCAGAACCTAACCAATATGGAAACAAACCTACTTTTGTTTCTGCAGACTATGGAACTACAATGAGATGGGGTCATAAAGCTAACCCGGATAGGTGGTTCATAAACTTACAACCACAATTCCAAGAAGTTGTAGACGCAATGGAAGTGAATGGTGAACCAGATATAGCTGGTATTTTAAGCGCGGCTTTAATGCCATTGAAAGATATGAAAGATGCAGATATTTTGAACCAGTATGAAATGAACATGGCTGATGGAAATATAACACCTGACGTTCTAGAACATTTATCTCAAAGAACTACCAAGAACCATAAAGATGGTATATTTGGTGAAGAGTTTAGAAAGAAAGTTAGGGAGGAGAGAAGGAAGAAACCTATTGTACATGACCTTGCAAACGAAAGTTTACAAAATGTCATAAAAACTTACTTTGCAGGCGATGAACTGAGAAGGGATGAATATTAAGAAAACTCAAATGGACAGTACCAAATGAAATGTTAGTATTGAAAAACATGTTCCTTGACAAAATAAAACCAACTACAGAAATAAATGACGCAAGACTGAAACATTGGGTAAAAGCTTTCCCATTCACAAAAGATATTGTTGGTTAACATGGAAAGAAAACCAGAATGGCTACAAAAAACATATATTTGGAAACGAGCTTATTCCATATGGACAGGCACTGTTTGAAGAGCTTGAACCGCAAACTCAGGAAAGAGTCATGCAAACAATACGCGAAGACTCAAATACAAACTATGACAAACTCTTTCTAGGATATAGTTACCTGAGATGGGCGACCAGAGCCCAAAGCAAAAAGGACATGGGAAATTTATACTAGGTGAACATGAGGCAAAGATGCAACAACTTGAAGCAGAGGGCAAGTTACCAAAAGTTGCACCACAAAGAAGAAGAGAAGAGTTGGAGAAAGTAGTGAAGAAGTAACTTCATCTAGTGAAAGTAGTGACAATGAAGGAAAAAGAAGAGTTAAAAACTCAGTCAGGAAGAAAGTAAAGCTTGGTCCACGTGGGTTCTATTATGACATATAAATCCAACTATTCTATATTTTTACCCATATGAAATGTACGCCGCTCAGAATATAACGCCAACAGTTTTGGATGCCATGAATGGAAATGTTTCCGAATGGTATAAACGAATGCGACAATGCCATTAGAAGGTCAGAAATGTTCCTGGAACTTACGAATATACAACTGCTGTTTCTTATGGAAACGTAGGTGAGTTTTGGTGAAGGTTCTTCAACAACAGTAGATATTGCTTGCGACAGGTTTCATATTATTTCTATTGACAACTCATTCTTATACGTGGAACAAGACATTGAAATAAAACCTTCTGCCAAGTTGTCTGACAAGAAAGGTTGCAATGGAATTTCTATGTCGGATACCAATATGCTCCAGAAGTTTCATGGGATATAAGATATATTCTAACTCTGACTTAGTTCAAACAGTAACATGGGCAAACTATGAATGGTTCGCTTTGAGAAACTCAGTACAACCACAACTAGAGAACAAACAGACCAGTATGCAACTATTGAGAAAATAAGAAGACTTGACCCTAACGTTCCAGGAGTTTATGTTAACCTTTCTGGACAAACTGCAGCAGCAGTAAACCAAAGTAAAACTGAAACTTAGAGTTCCTTTGTCATCTTTCCTCATCTTCAGGTTTTTTAAGATACTTGCCAAACTGGGCAGGAAAAATTTCTATCGAACTTACTCCAAGCAAAAATAACTTAGTCATTGCACCAACACAAGACCCATTCACTCTTACAGACGTAAAGGGACAAATAAAACGTCATTCGCCGAATTTTGCAAAGACAAAGTTGACTTAGACTTTGGTTCTCAAACCTCAACACTGAAGTAAACTATTATTTCAATGCTGCTGGAGATGCTTGGGACCCAGTTAAGTTCACATGCGAAAAATTTGAATGCAAGAGAATAGAAAGCAGACTTGCAGTCTATAGTTGGACCCAGATATTTCAAATGCTTTAGCTGCCAAATATATTGCAGTTCCACTTATTTCCCTATACACCAAATATCTGTCAAAGACTTTGCAGGTGAAGTTGGAAACCAAAGTGCTGACCCAGGTGCAAGAACAGATATTGCCTTAACAACTGCAATGAAACATGCAGATACTATGTTTGTACTGTTCAGACGAACTATAAATGACTATTCTTGTTTCTACAACCCTGGTAT